GACCTAAGATCTTCATCAGCACAAGATCCTCATCATCACAGGATTACCACCACCCACTGAGTCTTCTGATCCTTCCTTGATTATAAGATCTTTGTCAATTTAGGATTATCGCTGCCCTCTGAGTCAGACATCTGATACTCCCTATGACCTAATAAATAGTGGCCAGCTCGGAGTGTCTTTGTCTTTTGCCCGCTCTGAGGCACTGACCTCCCGGACCCCATATACTTTGAAATTATGCAAGTCTCTACTGCCTTTTTTCCTTTAGCCCTCGAGGTCCCCTTTTCTAGGCAGAGGATTAATAGCCCTATGATACAAAAGAATTATACAGAAATATAAAGAGCAAATGGACGTAGAGAACTCACCAAAGAAAGGAGAGAACATGAAAGAATGTTATTAAGAAACCAAGGAAAGAACTTTTCCTAGAGGGAGTAACCTACAACAAATTAGCACAGATTTACAAAACACAACCATTGGCGCTGGCTTTAGGTTTTCCTGGAGACCTTAAAGGAGATGTAGGAGACGTAGGAGCCAGTAACCACGTTGTGGTTGCTTAAGGAACTAAAAAAAAGTAGAGCCAGCAAACAAAAACAAAACTCTCCCAAATACTATGTTATTTAAAAAAAAAAAAATAGTGCCTATTATGTCAGGCATTGTGCTAGGCATTCTATCCATATCTTGCCTAAATACACATTCTCAAAAAACTTGACTACTCTTTTTATAACTCTAAATTCTCTTTCCTACCTGCAAACTTCTAATCTTCTACATGACAGAGGCTTTCAACTGGCTGAATAAATAAACATATATTTTACTACTTCTGTAGAGCCTATCAGAGACTTGGAGAGTGTCGGACTTTCTAGATAGGACTCTTTAAGTAGGTGATGAGCTTTCCTATTCCAAGAATACTAGCACTCTTTGAAATAACCAATTCATGACCCCGTTCAGTGGAACCCTAAAAGACACAGCTGACACTGCCCCTCCCCAATCCTAAATGCAACACTAATCCTTCTGCTGCCCTCTTACACCCTAAACTCCTATCACAGATCACTGATGTAAGACTCTAGAATACTCTTAAAATGGAATTTTAACTCTAGAAAGGTCTAAATACTTTACAAATAAGCAAACTATTCTATTAGCTGAGTCATCCAAGTTTACCTAAGTGACTGAACTAGAACACTAAAACCAGAAAAATGATTCAGACTTAGAACCTTTTTCTGACTATCTGCTAGTGTTTACTATGAATTCCATTAACAATTCATTCAGTTCCTCCTGCGTGTCAGGAACCAGTGGTATGATGTGAACAAAACAGGCCTTGTCCCTGTTACTCTAGGAGAGACAAAATTAAAGCGTGATTGCCTAGTGCTTCAGTAGTATGGGAACACAAATCCAGGGGCTGGTGCTGATTTTGTTTGGATTTTTAAAAAAATTTTCTTTCCTTTTAAATTTTGGTGAAGGGATAGGGAATGAATGGTGGGGAGGACAACTCTGAAGAATGCTTAAGTGTAAGGGGGGCAGAGTGAGGCCAAAGGGAACAGCAACCCAGGGCAAGGAACAGCACATGCCCAGATCACAGCGAAGCAGCAGCATGGACACTGAGAGAATGAAGAGGCCAGCACAGCCAGCCAGAGGGCAGGGCACAGCTCAGGTTCTGCTGAGACAGGGCAGAGCCAGATCAGACAAAGCAGAGCCCTAACCTTTCACCTAGCACTTAGCAGTTAAGCATGCACTTCAAAAGATTTTTTCTTTTGCTTCTCCACAAAGTTGTGAGGTAGCCTTTATTATTCCAAACTTAATTACTTCCTTTTCTTTGGAACACTCACCACAGGGTAAGGTCTAGGCCTGTTAACTAAATCACCTTGTCTGCTGGCAGTCACACACCTGCCTGTGGTACTATCACCTAGAAAAGGTATACTAAACATTCGCTCTCAGAATGCCACTTAGAAAGGTGAGATGTTTACATTTTTTTAAAAGCTTTAGAAAGAATTACCACCTATCTACCTACCTTCCTGCTGAAGACTTACACTCTGACACAGCATTTAAAACTATGGGTTGTACGTCTGTCTTCTTCACTAGACTGTGACCTGTTTGATAGTGGGCAATGTACCTCATTTAACTTGATATGTAAATGATTTAGCACTAAGCAGTTAAGACTCCTGTTTGACAAAATGGATTCCTCCAATAAAAGTAGAAATATTAGTGTGTGGCCCTACAGGCTAGAGAGCCAATACACTACCGAACTCAGTTGAAGTGCAGAGGAATTTTGTTTCCTGTATGCCTGCAAGTTTATAATATTGTACGTACTTGATTTATTCATGAAAAAACTGTAAATACAATTTTCAGTGCACGTGGTACCAGGCTGTTATTTATAAACATCCCAGCAAGGCATTCATTGAACACATCAGCTACTGAAGTTTACTGCCCTGTGCTAAATGCTGGTAACCTGGATTTCAAGAACACGAATTTCATGCTTCGCTGACACTGAAGTTCCTTCTCTCAGGCACGGAAGTTCTTGAGAAGGGAAAAGTCCCCCCTACAGAACAGGTCAAGGTTCGGCAGTTTCTAGATCTCAAGAACACAATCCATCTGGGCCAAGCACAGAGGGAAAAGACCGTCAGGTGAGAAGCGTCCCTTCCAGCAAGGGAGCCGGTGCGGGCACAGAGGCCAGGCGCGCAGGGGCCGGGCGACCGGACGGGGGCAGAGGCGCCGGCTGCAACCTCAGGGTCCCGGGCCTGCTCCGCCTGCCGCCCCCAGCCCCGGTCGGGTCCTCCTCCAGAAGCGGCAGGGCCGGGCCAGGCTTCCGGCAGCAGGAAAAGAAACAGCGGGGCCGGTGAGTTCTCCAGCCAGGCTGGGCCTCGGAGCCACAGAGTCCGGGCCGGGGTCGGGCGGCCTCTGGCTCCTCTGCGGCTCGGCCAGCTCGCGGGCGCCCAGGGCGGGTCGCGGCCGGCACAGCGCAGCCCCGAGGGCACGGGGCCTTCGGACACGTTTCCGGGCCTTCGGACACGTTTCCGGGCCATCGTTCCTTCCGCCCGCCCGCTCACCGAGGTTACCTTCCCAAGTGACATCGTAGAGCTCCGAGACCTTCGCCATCTTCCCGGAACCTGCAGGTACCGCGCTGAGGGGCGGGGCGATGCGGTCACGTGTGCGGGACCGGGCGGGGCCAATGACGACGTGTCTCCTTACTGGTCAAGTGGGCGGGGGGCGGGGGGGCGGTGACCGCCGCGCACGTGCGAGGGGCTAAGCAGAGAGGATTGGGGGAGGCGGAGCCGAGGGGCGGGACTGACGGGGGCCAGGGCCGGCGGTGGGCGGAGCTTAACTGAGGGAGGTGGGAGGGGACGGAACCAGCGGGCGGAGGGGGCGGGGATTGGGCCGAGGCGGAACCCTACGGACCCCAGCGGCTCTGCGTCCGCCGCAGTCGGCGTCGGCGTCGGCGTCGGCGTCCGCGTCCCCGTTCCCCCCTGCCAGCGCGGTCCCTCCCTGCCCGACCGGCCGCAGCTCCAGCGAGACAGCGAGGTCTGAGTCCGCCGAAACCCCTGGCCGCTGGGTCGAGCAGTGCAGACCGCGGACCGGACCGAGGCAGCCGCCCTGAGCCCGCACCTCCTTCCCGCCGCACCGCCGGCCCGGAGCTCCGCCTGGCCCACGGCTGAGCTGCGGCACAGAGGCCGCACCGCGAACTTGGTGCCCGGAGACCGACGACCGCCGCGGGGACTGTGCGGCCGGAGCAGGGAGCCCTTCCGGATTTTTAGAGTGTCATTCCAAGAATAACAAAACTCTAAAACTTGGCATTATTTCTAAAATTCTAGAACTCTGGATCTCTGTGAAGTATGAGAAAATTCTAAAGACATTGCACTCAGAATGCCCCTTAATGATTCATTTAATGGCCAGCTGCCACACTGTCATTGATGGTTGCTTGTTAACAAACTTAAGCAAGCTAAATTTTATCAGTTTTTCCCTAACAATATGTAATTGATTCCAGGTGTGGAACATGAACACCATATAAACCCTCAGAGCCTCCCAGTCCCGGCACAAAACCTCCTCGAGCCAAGGTAGCTGACCTGGTGGTGCTCTGCTTCGGGGAGGGCCTACACATGTTCACACCCTGGCCTCCAGGCAAATAGTGTTAGACGCAGCACCCAGTCGGGAGAGGCAGAGGGCCTCCCAAGGCACACTGCTGCAGGGTGAGGTCACTCAGAGTCAGCTGTTCTGCAGAAAGAGCTGAGTGTTGAACAGAGGAGTACGGAAAGGAGAGCACTGATGGGTTTCGAAAACCGAAGCCAGAGCGATGAGGCTCCTGCCTAATTGTCTCTCCCTCTGAGACAGATTCAGGGTCTGGAGGAGGGTCAAAAGATTCACTTCTGAAGAGGTGGAGAAGCAGTCACTTCTTACCTCAAAGAACACCATGCCACTGCCCTGTGTTTGGAGAAACGCAGAGCTTCTCGCTGTCGAGCGGGACCTGGTGATTCATCCAAGGTCAGTGCCGGCAGTTGAGGGAGGAGCTCCAGCAGCTCCTGAGGCAGCCTTCACTTTGCCCCCAGGGCCTGCACACACTGGAGGGGGACAGTCTGCTCCTGAGAACAAGACACCTGCCCTGCCGAAGCTGTGTTTCCTGGAAGCTTGCCTGGCTTCTCCAGCTGGGGTTAGGGACGCTTCCTATATGCCCGGTATTCTTTGTCCTTTCCTCTCCTCAAAGCACCGATGCCACTTGCTGGATTGACAATTTGTGTCTGTCCTAGACTCCAAACTCTCTTTTGGCGCCTGCCTGACATAGTCACAACCTGTGTTTAGGTCCAGTAAGTGTTTTGGGGGAGTCAAGAGCTCCATTAAAACAGCGCTCACTGATCCGAAGACACCATGAGCCAGAACAATGTTAAGAGGTCAGGCGTGGCCTGCAATCCCAGGACTCAGGAGGCTGAGGCAGGCGGATCACCGTGAGACTAAGGCCCATCTGGGCTACATAGTTTGAGGCCAACCTGAACTGCATGGCGAGACTGTCTCAAAAAAACAAACAAACATTTTAAAGGAAAACGTTGAAACAAAAATAAAAAGGTTGTCAATTTTCAATTTTGTTAGTGAGAACATTAACAGTAACAACTACGGTCTAGTTTCACATCATTTCCTCTTAAAATTGCTTTTTTAACACCAAAGGAGTTTCGAAGACTCATGAAGCAACACTTCCTGAAACTGAAACTTCTTCACCAGAGGCCGGTGGCCAGTTTCCCTGGGCGTGCGAGGGTCACCGCGCATTGGGCCCCGGGGACGGCACCCTTGATCCATCTGCCTGGCACCGGGTCGGTGAATGGTGAGTCAGCTGTTTTCAAGGTGGGAACTTCCAGAGATTTGCTTTTTGAAAGTTACTCCTCCAAATGATGAAACTTGTTTCCCATCCTTATTATCTGTGTCTTTAAAGAATCACTGCACATCCTGAAAAATGATTTCCAGCTGCGATTCATTATTTTTCTTGAGAGGTTTTTTTTTTCTCTCTTTCCTAGTAAACCTCTGAAGAAGTGAACATATTAGAAAGTGAGAGCTACTGTAATTCTGTTTATTTTTAAAACATGCTGGGGAAGAGTTGCTCCAGTCTGAGCTAAGAAGGAAAATAAAATTATACTCGAAGTATCTTATAATGCAAAACATTTCTGGCACATTTATTTTGGATATAGCTCTTGTCTCATAAAATCAAGAGAATTCATTTTGGTTAAATTTTACACTAGCACAGAGAAAGTATGTTTTTCATTTCACATTATTTGCCTCACAAGTCACAAAAATTTTCCTTGATCTCAGTGTCAAAATAGTGAAAGAGCATTTTTATTATAACTGGAGCATAAAATGCTGTTATCTCTACAAATAAGTGTGTCATTAACAAATGGAAAAGACAATAAAGAAAATACGGCAGCGGTGTCTCTACTTTAAATTTCACTTATTTTGAGAGCCCATGGGATCTGTTACTGCAGCCTTCGGGAAAGCAGAGCCATCGCTATGAGGACATGGAGAGAAGAGCTCCATGCTGCTGCAATGCAGCCCTGACAACGGACGGCAGAGCGGCCGGCAGCCCCACCTCGCCCGTCCCGGGCCGTGGTCCGGGTGAGGACCAGTTTCTGAATCCGCCTCGGACCGCCACCGATCTATGCCACTCCCTCTTTTATGTACTTTCAGCCGTAACTTCCTTGATACCGTTAGCAGCAGGGAAAAGAAAGCCTCAGTTTTTACACGTCAAAGCATGATATTCTGTTATAAAATAATTTTGCAGGTAACTTTTCCAACTGAAACGTTGCTTCTTAATAAATCAGTAAATAATGCAATATGTATATACACAAATAAAAAATCTCATGAATTAAAGAGCTCTGTTTTCTATACACTCTAAAGAAGAATTATGCTTTCTTTTACAAAGAGTTTTTCTTGCCTCAACAGAATTCTTTGAAAATAAAAGTGTAATATATTTGACTCCAGTTTGAAAAACATAGTAGGTACCATCCAACTTGTGGAAAGTAATCTACCTTTAATGTAGTGGTTGCCCTAATTGAGATACTACCTAGTTCATTAAATGAAGGAATAACTAACTTTGTACTTAAAATTGGTACTTAAATTTCATACTTTAGTACTTAAATTTAGCATTTAAATTTCCTGCTTATGATTGGTATTAATCTAGCCTGATTTATCACAAGTGTGGCTCATAAGGGGTCATATTTGGTTTTCATTTGTTGCGTAGACTAATATGTTAAATCATTAATTTTGAGCACAAGTTTTCCTATTCTAAAAATTCTAGGAAATGAAACAAAAATGTCAATATCATTTTTGAAAAGTGTTAATAATAATAGCTAAATATTTTACACTATCAGGAGCTAAATTTGATTTATCACTTATGAAAATAGTTATTTTGGCAGCATAACATCAATGAGTGGATACTAAAGTGTCGGCACCGACAGGATTATCAGCCCATGCTGCACACTAAGCACAATTAATTGAAAAACAAAAGTTCACCAAGAGTGTGCTGGTCTGATTTGAGTGAATGGCTGAAGTTTCACATTATGATCATTTAAGATCACTGCATGAAACTAAAATAGGCAAGTTTTTTTAGTATAAAAAAGAAAGTTTTTTTAATTTAAGGGAGAGAAAGTATGCATCATTTAACAAAATATAAAAAATTTTGGCTAAAAGACTGAAATAGATGAGCTTCTGGCATCTTTGATTTACTAGTGGACAAGCCTATGAAGCGACAATTTGTTTCTGAAGAAATTGTCACAAAGGAATAGATACCCAGATGAAATTGTAGCCATGCGAAAAATGATGTAAAGAAACTGGTGACACAAACATAAGGACAGGCTAATTCTCACAGTCACTGCCCAAAAGAAATTCTGTTCAATTTTCAATTGCAGCTAATATACAAAAAACTGATATTCCATGGAATCTTAAAAGCTTGATTTCTGACTTTGCCAGTTATTATATGACTTTATGTACATCACTGACTCTCATTTGATAAAACGTAACAATATGTACCTCAGAAGGTTGTTGAGAAAATTAACTGTGAAAGTGTCGGCGAAAACAGTACAATACTTGACAGATGCATTAATTTTAAGTGGTTAAAAGTAATCATTTTAATGAAATCATCATTTCATTGATGATTTCTTTCTTTTCTTTGTTCAGTTTTAGTGCCGGATGATATAGCAAAAACTAAGTTTCTTGATGACAGTACAATAGAAGCCTGAAGTAGATTTGAAAATAATATCTCAGAAGTAGCAAAGTAATTTCCCCTTGTTACCTTTTGTCTATACTTTACTACTATCTGTCCACTTTAGATCTGCAAACTCTGCAGACAGCTGTGTTGAATATTCAGTCAGACATCCAGGAAGCCTGAATGTTTCCCAAGGAGACAGAGAAGAGCCAAACAGCAGCAGATTACATAAAACAAAAGGATTGTAAGGCCTTCTCCAGGTTGTAGATTTTCTTTTCTTTTCTTTTCTTTCTTTTGGTATTGGGGATCGAACTCAGGACCTTGTGCTTGTGAGGCAGGCATGGTGCCACTGAGCTAAATTCCCAGCCCTGTAGATTTTCTCTGTAACTAATTATGATGCTGTTTTTAGGCACTGAACTTGTGTTTTGGTTTGGTTGGGGGTATTTTTGTTGTTACCGGGGATTGAACTCGGATCCTTGCGTTTGCGAGGCAGGCGGCAGAACCACTGAGCTAAATCCCTGGCCCTTGGTTTGGTTTTTTGAGCCAGGGCCTCACTCTGTCACCCGGGCTGGCCTTGAACTTGCAGCGATCCTCCTGCCTCAGTCTCCCAAGTACTGGGATTTCAGGGATGTGCCGCCATACCCAGCTTCACTGAGTTCGCGTCTCTCCAAAATTCAGGTTGCAGTCCTAACCTCCAGCATCTCAGAATGTGACCATGTTTGGAGGTGGGTCTTAAAGAAAGAATGAAACCAGGCTCCAATGCAGCTGACTGGTGTGCTCACTGGAGCAGAGCACAGACAGGCATGAAAACCTGGGGAGGACAGGACACCTGGGGCAGGCAAGGAGAGAGGTCTGGACTATGAAGCCCTTCAAGGCACCTGCATCTTGGACTTCTAGCATCCAGAATGGAAAAAATGAACCTCTGCCATTTATGCCATGTATTTTCTTGTGTAAGCCCCAATGAAGTAATATACTACTTAAGACAAAAAAAGGAAAAGAAAAATAATTCATTTCACTTAGCATTATAGTCTCAAGGTGCATCCATTTTCCTGCAAATGACTCAAATGTATCCTTCTTTATAGCTGAGTAGTACTCCACTGTGTGTAAATACCACATTCTCTTTATGCATTCATCTGGTGATAGACATAAATGCTATTTATGATGGACATTTAGCTATTATGAGCTGTGCTGCTATAAACATGGGCATGCATGGATCACAGTAAAATGATGTCTTTAACTCTTTCAGGAAAATACCTAGAAGGAAGGGGAACATCTGGGTCCAGTGGAATTTCTAGTTTTAGTTTTTTGAGGAATGAGGGGAATGTGAAAAGGAATAAAATGCACAATAATAAAAGGAAGTCAATTTACTTTTGAAATAAGCACTTCACAGATAAAGTATACATCTAAGAAAAATGATAAATGTGCACATGTGTCGCTCCGCAAGCATACATCCATATTCTGCTTCCCCTCTGTGAGTTCCCTGAGCTCCGGAGTACAGCTGAGCCCAGGTGCTGATTGCTGGATTTCACCCATCTTTGCCTCAGCCCGCACTGCAGGCGTCCTGCCCTCCTGCTCCATGACTTCCTCCTGAATAACAAGCACAACACAGAAGCACAGTGTGTCTTCTCCCGGGGGAGTCTGTCCCCCTCTGCCTGCCTATCAGATGGATCTCTTACCAAGGACACGAGTGACCTCTGCTTTACCAAATCCAGTACTTTCAGTCCTTACCTCCCTGACCTATGAGCAGCATTTTACGCAGTGGCTTCCAGGACATGCTCCATCTTGGTCCCCTCCTGCCCTGCTGGCCACTTCTCCTCAGTCTCCTCCATGACAATGGTAGAAGGCTCCACCTCGAGCCACTGGTCTTCTCTGTGTTTGCTCTTAATGATCTCACCCCATTCCATGGCGTCAGTGCCAGCTGTCTGCTGCTGATGTACATCTCAGTTGCTGGAGCTCTTTTCCAACCTCAGACTAAAGTACTGACATCCTGTGTTGTCTGCCTAATAAGCATTTCACACCTAGCATGATTAAAATTTGATTCCCGCATTTTATTTCCCACCCCATCTAGAGCAGCTGCTGCATAGCCTCCCCTCCTCAGTCATGGCAGCTCCGCCTTTTCACCATTCCAACCAAAAAGCCTTATCACTTCTCTTACCTCCCACCTCGGTCAGCAAATCTTGCCAGCTCTCCTTTGATGAAGACCCAGGATTCAACCACATCTGTGTCTCACCTGCATTATTGCCACCGCTTTCTTACAGGCTCATGCATAACCCTTGTACTCTTATAGTTAGTATCAAACCAACCGGGCCCTTTAGAAGATGCTAGGTGCCATTGTTTCTTCACTAAAATCCTCCAACAGCATCTATCATACTCTTCAGATAAAGCTCTACAGTGTCCTGCCACTGATACCTCGATGTTCTCGTTGCCTGTTCAAGTCTCCTCCTCACCTTGACTCAGGCCCGGCATCAGCCTCCATCTGGCTCTAGACCCTTGCTCATGATATGTGCTAGAATTGAGTGTGAGTGAGTGAGTGAGTGAATGTGTGTGTGTGTGTGTGTGTGTATGTGTGTGTGTGTGTAGGCAGCGTTGGGCATAGAGCCCAGGGCCCAGCCCATGTGAGACAAGTGCCCTCACTGCACTACACCCCTAGCTGCGGCCCACAGTGTTTCCACTGAGTGTCACCCTTCATGCCCTCGGCTCCCGGCTGCCCACCACCCACTCGGAGACACCCTGCTTCTGGTTGCAGTGCGCTGCTGCGGAGCCAGCCTGGGGCGGGTGCACACGCTGCACTGGACCACCAGGCCACACCCAGCCCTTCAGAGCCATTTCTTCATTTCAACCTATTTGTTACCAGGTCTTAAATAATCATAGCCTCTTTTAAATTCAGTGTATTATAGCCAATTCATTTTTGTCCTTTTCTTTCCTTTACTCATAACCTATTCTTAGACTTCTCTGTTCAATCAGGGTAAGAAATTTTTCCTCATCTATAATTGAACCCTCAAAGTCAAGTTATAAATCCATCTCATCTTTTAGATCAACATTCAGTTTTCATACTACACTATCAGGAAGGTTACTGTTTAGTTTTTGTTCAGTGAACTCCAAAATAAATTTTCACTTGAGCTACTGAAATAATTCTCTGTAAAGGAAAATCTTCCAATCGCTCAGGAGGCAGAGAGGACAACCAGGGAGTCCAGGCTGAATGTCTGCATTTTGTTAGCAAAGTGCAAAGTCGGGTTTCAGCTGAAGACTGGAGGGGAGCACAAGGTGGACACAGGGCAGATGAAGATGTAGGTGGACGACCAGCAGGCAGAGAGCCCGCCAGGCCCTGATCCATTAGGCCTACACAGACTGCAAATGCCTTTCAGGGGAAAATTGTTAAAAGAGCAATGAAAAATTACAGCAGCTCTCTATGAAAGAAATGCAGAGAAACATGCTCTGCAAAGATTTTAAAACGGCTGGGCGTGCAGTGCAGTGATGGGGCACTTGCCAGATATGTGCCTGGTCCTGGGTTTGATCCAGCACTGCAAAAATAGAAAACAAGAAAGATTTAAATAAATAGTACATTTAAAGACATGGTAACTTTGATAGTACTAAAAGAGGTTTTATTAACTATATTCAGTTTTATAACAGATGTAGTATCAAAAAAGTTACTGAA